CTGAAAATTGAGTCACAAGAGTGAGTTCATTTCCAGACTTCAAGAGTGACTAAAGGCCATAGTCTTGGGGGTTCTACCAGTCTCTGTTTCACAAATGACTCTAGTCTCCTGTATGATTTTGAATTTTGTTCCACATTTTCCTCGCTATCCAGGGCCGCCTTCTTCTTTTTAAAATTCTATGAATCCCTATATCATACAATTAATTCACTCAATCATATCAAGGAGAGTTGTACAATTATTACCACAATCAATTTTAGAACATTTTCTTCTTTCTTGTACTCATTGTTATAGGATCTTCTAATATAATAATTTGCAGAGCAGTTGATAGTGGTGGCTGACCACCATCTAGTTTTCCCAGTCTCAGAGTTGTGGAAACTGATGTTTATGTGGTCTTTAGTCCATTGGACAAATTGTTTCCATGTTTTTAAAATTCCCACCACTCTTCTTTCTTCTGGATTGGGGGTGGGCATGGGGACCAGTAGTTACACCTTATATGGTCACGTAAAAGCTTTCAAGACACTAGTTACTACTCAACAAAGTAGAATGGAGAACATTGTATTTGTGAACAAAGAAACTCATTATACCAATAGACTTTGGTGTCCCCTAAGCCTATCATACTGATGTTCCAGGCCTAGTGACCCATTTCCTTAATGTGGTTGGTTACGCCTAAGAAGTTTTCATAATTTTCCCCTGTATGCTTCACCATAAGGAGTCAAAGGTGTAGTGGGTTACGTGTTGGGCTGTTTGAAACCACGAGCTGTTCCTTGAAAGAAAGACAAGGCTTTCTACTCCTATAAAGTGTTATGGTCTCGAAAACCCACAGGGGAAGTTCTTCTCCATTCTATGGGGTAGTTGGGAGTCGAAATCAACTCAACCGCAGTGTTCGACTTGAGTTTATGCTCCATCACATTTGTGTACATATTTGCAGCCAAGGTGAATATACATGCCATATCCTCTCTCAAATCCATATATTTTGTGGGTATAGTTTCGCATTCTCTCCCACACCCATTTATACTACATGTTCACCTATGCACCTCTATACAGATCACTACTATTGTCGGTTTCTGAATATAAGTTTTTACCTTTGTTACCATTAATTCTTGCACTTTTCCCAGTGACTTTCCCCTCTTCCATAACTTTTTGCCAATTTTCTTCTTATTGTATATTGCCTTCCCCTTCATCCAAGTTAACACTCGTCTACCTCTAGCCAGTGACTTCTTCGTCCCCCTCCTACCTCTGGTAACCATCAGAGAAAGTTTCTTTTATTATGAAAACCTTTACTTTGTATAATAGTGCACTCATACAACATTTGTCCTTTTGTGATTGACTAATTTCACTCAGTCTAGTGGAGGGAAATTCCTTAAAATGGCTCTTATAAGATGGGACTATGCAAATAGAGCGAGTGTCACACTACTAGAGGAGATGGGTCAGTTTTTGTTACCACCCCCATGGGCTCAATGGATGAGCCATCTTTGACGCAGGAACAGAGCGAAAGCCTAGGACCATCTGAAGAGCATGTTCCAGATCTCTAGCTGAAGTGGTGGAAGCCAAGTCCAGAGGCAACAGAGATGGTTGGAGATTGAAAGGAGCAACACTGAGACTAAGGAATAACTTCTCATCTGACTCAAGACTATGGGACTGGGAGCCAAAGCGGCAGGTAATGATCAAGTGGCTGGAAGACCAAGGACAAGGTATTGTCCATTGCTTTTGAGTTGTAGAGATCTATTAAATCTATTAACTTCCCTAATAAACCCCCCTGATTGTGAATATTGTCTTTGAGTTCTGTGTTGTCATTTCAACAAATTATCAAACCCATCAGAGAAGTAGAGTGCTGTGGGAGGAATGGTTGGTGCCACAATGGTTAAAGAAGGATGGAATGTGGAAGCATGTCTCAACCCCTACCTCTTGGCAAAAGGGAAGCCAGAGGAGGTCAGATAGGGGCCCCAAAAATGTTTATTACACTCAGCAATATGTCCTTTAGTGTCATCCGTGTTACGAGGTGATTCATAGAATCATTGTTATTCATTAAAGTTGTATACTATTCCATCATTGTACCACTACTGTGTCAGTCCATCTTTTTTGCTGCCCTTCCACCTTACCAAGTATAATAACCTTCTCTGAGTACTAGTCTCTCCTGAGAACACAGTAACTGCAACAATGGGTTCAAACAATAACAATTGTACAGATGGCACAGGACAGGACGAGTCTATGTTTCTTTCTATTGTATATAGAGTCGCTATGAGTCAAAACCGACTTGACAGCTCCTAACAACAAGTATTCCATTGTGTGTCTGTATGGTTAATGATCATTTAAAACAATTGATTATTGAAATAGGCAGGATTGATCAATACACATTCCACCTTCCATCATTTTACCTGCAAAATCTTGGATTGCAATACTTCAAAAAAATAAGTATACCTGAAAAGGTAACCAGTGAAATAGCAACGTACCTGATTATAAATCAGACACATGGTTTTAGAATAATAGGCTTTATTAGAGGTTAGTGTAGTGATTCCCAAAGTGGTTGATATAACCCCCTGAGGGGCACTGGAATGATCCAGCGGGGCTGCAAAAAGAGATACCTACACATTTTTCTCGATTGTGGGCTGTAGCATAAAAAGTTTTTATTGCCAGGGGATGGATGAATACTTTTTTTGTTTTTTGATTTTCCTGGAAAGGTGGCAGTAAGACAAATGTTTGAGAAACTATGATTAGATACTAACAGCAGATACCTAGCTAAGAACATTAAGTAATATTGTTAGAATCACCATAGGAAGATTTAAAATTCATTAAAAATTTTGTTACTATGAGTAAAAATAATGCAGCATAGTTCCAACAAAGAATTAAAAGTGTTTGGTAGACAGAATGTGTTCAAATTCTTCCTTTAATAACTTACCAAAAGATTTCAGTGTGTACATATGATGGCCAAAAATGTGGTTACAAGTTGGGCTGCGAACCACAAGGTCAGCAGTTCAAAACCACCAACTGCTCTGTGGGAGAAAAAACGGGGCTTGCTACTCTGGTAAAGAGTTACAGTCTTAGAAACTCACAGGGACAGTTCTATGAGGCGGCATCAACTCCACGGCACTGAGTTTGGTTGTTGTTGATTTTTTAATGTTTGAAATGAACTTATATGTTATTAAGGACTCTAAGTTTTACTTTTTCCTCCTTTTTTAGCCACTCGGACCAATATTTAGATTTGAGGGATAAGGAATCTGGAAGGTTTTTAAAAATTTTTTTAGTTTTTACAGCCACTTAAAACTAGAAATTTTTCATTGAAAGACTGCGGTCCTCAAGTAGACTATGAAATATTTCAAAGAAAATAAAACAAGCAAAACAAAGAAACAAAATATTTCATAATTTATTTTATAATGTGAAGGTGATATCACAATAGTATATTTGTGCTGCCTTTTAATTATAAAATATATATTCATACTGGAGGATATATTAATCTATATTAATACTTGAAGATAAATTCCTCGATGATAGTTTGATATTTTCTTAGGAAACTGCTATAACAGTTACCCAACATGGCACATATTTTTAACCCCAAATTTAAGTGGAAAAACTACTAAAACATAAAATAAATTGCTAAGTAAATGTTTTTAAAGCTCTTAAATATGTTTAATCCATATTTAGCATTCAATAAGAGAGCAGAAATCACACCTCCATGGAGTTTGGAAATCTTAATCTGAGGTTTCAGCTTCAATAGTTATGCTGTGTTTTTATTTTTGTCCCCTTCTCCAACATCTAAAATTGAAATGCTATTGAAAATTTATAAACCTTTAACGCAAAACCCCAGATTCAGTTTGATAAATAACAGCCTTCAATTCCATGTGGATGAATCCTCTTGGTTTACTTAGAAAGTGCATCAAAATCGATTATAGGTCAAACACATGGAGGGAGCATAAAAATCCATCCAAAATAAGACAATACACATAAAATCTATTGCATTTTAACTTCTTTAACACTATACTCACATTTTAAACAAAAAGAGGCAATATTTTGATTAATATTTAAACACAGATATTAATAACAGAAGATTAAACAATTTATTGCTAAGCTGTAGTATGTAGTTTAGGTTCATGAGCTTTCCAATACATTTGAAATATATAGCATATAAAGTCACAGAACAATAGACCTTGAAGGAAACCCTCTAAGCTTCATTATAATCAGATTCGTTTTGGTAAGGATAATCTTTAGAGTTATAAGATTTATATGATGGTTGGTCATATTGGTTCATCTAATGAATCACACAGATGTCAACTAGAGGGTCCCAAAATATGGAATGGCTACTTAAGTTCAAAATGCAGTACACTGGTAAACAATTAAAGTAATTAACTTAATTACAGTTTTCTACTTTCAACATGTGCACTTAAAATGTTAACATGGGATAAAATTTGATTGTTGAAACTAGTATTACAAATACCAAATTTACAAACAAATATCAAAAGAATTTAGATATAATGAAGCCTCTGACTACATAATTTGAGTCAACATATTCATTTTACAAGGGCAATTGGACTAGTTGCAATCCATGTGCACTTTTTAAAAGGTTAGATTCTACTTTGGTTATGAAAAATGCAGGGTAACCACTTTAGGAGAATCTAACCTGCAAACTGGCAATTCAAATTTTCTCTTTAAATATGACTAAATTATAAGGATGTTAAATATCCTTGAAAAGTTGGTCTTGTGAATTAGGACGTTTTATGCTGAAGCTTTAGGATAAAAGTACATTTCACAAATGGGACAATGAAAATAAATTATTACAAGACAAGATAATAGCCATATAGATGAAAAGCAACTTTTCTTGATACACAACGGTTGGGTTTTCATGACCTTTACAATACTGAATATACAATGAAATATGTTAGCACCAAATGCAAGACAAATATAAAGCTATTTAATAACTTTAGAGGTATGTAATTCTTACTGAAACTACCAACAAGGATATTTTCAAAGCAGTGTTCCCTTTGTAGCCTAATAATCTCATTTGCCTACTATTCACAAATATTCTCTGGAGTATAAATTTTATGCAGACAGACTTCGATTTTATTGTCACCCAAATTACAGATATCCACGATACTGATAACATGGGCTTTATTCAATTCAGTTACTGCTTTTATAATATCACCTAAAAGTAAAAAAAGCAGACAGTAAGTATTGTAAAATACTTAAATATTTACTTGCATTTTGCATCATATAAACTGATGATTTTTTCTTACAATATTAACATTATTCTTCATCTCTTTTATCTTTTAATTTCCAACACATATTCATGTTACAGTAACTTCTAAAGATAAAGATGAACACTTCTGACAGATGCCACTAATAATATCAAGTCCTGGGCTGGTAATCCCAAATCATATGTAGTTTTATGGAATTTTTTATAAGCAGAATTGAGTAAATCTAGATATCTTTCAACATCATTTATGACCCATTTGAAAAATTCTAAAACATGCAAGGCACCATTTCCATAAATTGTTGCAAAACTTCAATGATTTAGGAAGATGTCCACTTAGTTTAAAATTCTGTATCTAAAATGTTTTATTAGCCTTGACTTCAAAATAATTTTTCCATGGTATAAAAAAAAAAGCCTTTAATTTTGAAGGCTCCAGAACTAAAAGAGGCCTGATAGTACAGTGGTTTACACATTGGGCTACCACCTAAAAGGTCAGCAGTTCAAATCCACCAGTTGCTCCATGGGAGAAAGATAAGGCTGTCTACTCCCATAAAGATTTACAGTCTCAGAAACCGAAGGGGCAGTTCTACTTTGTCTTATAGTGTCAGTAGGAGTTGAAATTGACTTGATGCCAGTAGGTTTGGTGCAGCGTTTCTCAACCTGTGGGTCACGACCCCTTTGGGGGTCAAACGACCCTTTCACATGGGTCGCCTGATTCATGGCAATAGCAAAATTACAGTTATGAAGTAGCAACGAAAATAATTTTATGGGTGGGTGGGAGGTCACCACAACATGAGGAACTGTGTTAAAGGGTCACGGCATTAGGAAGGTTCAGAACCACTGGTTTGGTGGGTTAACAACACTAATACAGGTATATTATATATTGAAAGGATTTAAACATGTATTATTTGGAATAAACTTATGCATGTATGAACTGGATCCCAAGTAGTAATCCTTTTCTATTTACCTGTATACAAGTAAAGCACTTAAATTGTGGCGGACACATAGTGTTAATTTAATATAAGCAATCATCAGCTTTAAGGAAACCTATCATTAAATTAGGATGTTTTTATTCACATCACATAATAGTGCTTTTTAAATAATTACAAATTTTGCCTATATAATAAGCTTCATTTTCAAATGTTAGAATTACAAAAAAATTTCACTTTTGTGGGGGAACAATACAAACACATAAGGTGAATGTGGCAAAGAGAATGCTATGTGTTCCCCACTTGGCTTTCTAAGCCACATTGGAAGACAACATGCCCTGGCCTTTGCAGTTAGATTGGCACCATGTTTTGGCAAATTAGAATGAGAGTGGAACTGATACGCTACTTCTTGTTCAACATAATTAGAAGCCAGTTTCTCCTTAGTCTCTCTCTTCCTCTGTTTGCCAACCCAAGACGCCATTTGTTGCACTATGGGGCCGCAAACAGATCAAAGCAGACTGGATTATTGAGTCCCGGCTGGATCAGACCTGACTTGATATCTAAATAAAACTTTATTGTGTTCACAGACACACTGGAGTAGCTTTTTACTTGCAGCATACTCCAAACCACTTTATAAAATGGGTGTGCTATTCCTTACAAAATACTGTGGGAAACCCTGATTAACAAGAATAACACAATTATTATCTCCTTGTGTTACAAATAATTCTGAACCAAGCTACCCCAAAAACAAAATCAACCTAAATGGCCATCAAGTCCGTTCTGACTCATAGTGACTCCTAGCGGGCAGAATAGAACTGTCCCTGTAGGGTTCTGAGACTGTAGCTCCTTAAAGGAGCAGAAAGCCAAGTCTTTTCCCCTCAGAGTGGCTTGTGGATTCACACTACTAACGTTGTGGTTAGCGGCACAGTATGTAACCACTAGATCACCAGGGCTCCCAAATCAAGTTATACTTTTCTAATTTTTATCATTAGATAAGTTTACTCATGCTTTCAAAGAGTAGGAAGTATATATACTCACATACTCAAGAGTTAAAGATAATGCTAACTAGGATCTTGCATTCAACAAATGACTCCCAAGTGGCTTAGAATTTTAAGTTATAAAAATGAAATAACAAAGTCAACAGTAAATTATAAAAGATAATTTTGGATTGGGTATGTTGTAAAAACCAGCAGCTACAAAATAAAAGACTGATAGATTTGAGGACATTAAACTTTTCTTAAAAGATCAAAATAAAGCTTGCATTGTTTAAATGTCAAACTAGGCAAAAGTATTTGCCACATGTAATAAATGGTTACTTTTTTAATAAGCAAAAGAAAATAAATCAATAAGAAAAAATTGCCATAGAAAAATAGAAAAAAATAAAACTAGACATGCACAGAAAAAACAAAAATGGCTAATAAATATATGAAGATGTACAGGGCAGGAGATAAGGAATAAAAATGAAAATAATGAGCTTTTCTTTTTTTAACAAAGTAATCAGAGCTAGTGTTTATAAGGGTGTGAGTTAACTTGTACTCTTGGTTTTGGTTAACTTTTTAGAGGACAATATAATATCTATAACAATTTTAAATGCATACACATTTTGATCAATCTTCTAGGAATTTGCCTTGCAGATGTCTTTGTATAAGTGCACAAGGTCACACAGATATATGAAGGTAAGTAAAAAAGTATTGCTATAAAATGATAGATACCTTTATTAAACAAAATGATCAAAATGTGTAGTTATTGTTTCTGAACAATGCTTCCATCAAGAAGTTTATACTTTTGAAGCTGTATTTCCAACTTTTAAACCCTTCCTCCAAAGAATTCTGCCCTCTTCAAAGTATATCACATCAAAATGGCAGTTTTGGCATCTGAAAAGGCCGCGAATCCTGTGCCTTTTAAATGTTCTTTGCTTTTTGAAAACAAAAAGAAGTCTGAAGGGCTGGAGGGTGGATGGGCTATGATTTCCTAATAAAACTCTCACAGGACAAGCCTTGCTACCCTCACAGAACAAGCCTTGTCCTGATGGGTATTCCTCTGCACAACTTCCCTGGCTTTTTCTTCACCAGTGCAGCTTTCCTAATAAGCTCCCACGTCCTGTATCCTTTAAGATAACCTATCATGATTGCTCCTTTGCAATCCCCCTCAAACAATGGCCATCACCTTCTGAGCTGACCTCTTGGCCTTGAACTTAACTGGCCAGCAGATCCCCTTGGTAGCCACTGCTCTGACTGGCTCATTTTTGGGAGTTACCCTAACAAGACTAAGACAAATGTATTACTGTGAGAACTTTTCTGCAGCCGGTCACTGAACAAAGAGACATGTCCTAAAACATTGTGTGTAGAATAAGTAAAATAAGTCTATGTATGTGTGCACTGGAACCCTGCTCATACTAACTTTTTATTACCTTTAAATGTTTAAGCTTATCCATTACAGTACTGTTTGCTTATCCAAAAACATTTTGAAACCATGGATATGTCCATCAGCAGAGGATTGGCTAAATAACTTTCAGCACATTCACTACTTTGTAGTTATTAAAAAGAATGAAGTTACTGAATTCAATCCCATGGCTCAATTTTTCTTCAGGCAACAGGCAGGTCTATAAGCTGAACAATAATACGAGGGAGGCATGGACTCCTTAGAATAATTAGCCATTTGAGATCAAAAGGCAGCATTTGTCCAAGGACAAAGTTCAGAAACCAGGGAGGGTTAGGAAAGGAGGAGAATAGAAATAGGAACCACAGGGAGGCAGTGGGATGAGTGATGTTGCATTGTGAGGATTACAACTAACGAGATGAAATAAAATGGATGTGAATTGTTGAATGGTAAACAGTAAGCCTTCACTCAATTCATAACCAAAAGTTTTTTTTAAAATGAGGTAATTTTCTATATAGTCATATGAAGTATGTCCAAGATATTTTGTCAAAGGGGACAAAGCTGGTTCTGGAACTATCTGTTTAATATTATGTCATTTGGGCGGGTTACAGTATGTGTATGTGTAGAGGGGCAAAGACTGTTATATGCAGAAATAATTTCTAAGAGATTCCAAAGAAAATTAATATTAGCTATCTTAAATAAATGGTGGCTGGAATTGGGACAGTAAAGAAGGGAACTCTGACTTGTAGGCTCTACCTTTATGTAGTGTTTGAATTTTTAAGTTATGAGCATGGATATATTTTTGAATAAAAGGAAACGAATTCATAAGATATTTTTAAAAGATGACACCAATGTTATATTCTGAGGTACTTTGTTATACCACTGCAAATGTAAATATATAGTTTTTAATCTTTCAGTTTGGAATCACAGAAGGAATGGAACAGTTTATAATCAGACAGATTGGATTTGAATACTGCTGGTAATTGATTTGTAATTTGATTTGTAATTTAATTATCTATAAATAGGTGTTCATCTTGCACGTTCCTTGATAGCATTCATTATAACTTATGAAAAATGCCCAGACACACAGCTAACTGGCGTTATTGTGATTGGTGTTATTGTTAATGCTATATCATGAAAAAACATAGCATTCTATTCATAATGAAGCTTTTAATGACCACATTACTTTTCTCCTCCATGATACTTGTCCCATATATGAATTTCTTTAACAAAATGGTCCAGGTCTTTGTTCAAGGGACTGTGCTAGTGATGACTGCACAAATGTTAGTACTAGCAACAAACAGCAGAGAAATTTAACTTCATGTGTTATATCAATAATGGGCATCAGAGCAAAAGAAGTGTGACAGAAGGAAATGTGAAATGAAGCAAGGAGTATATAAATATTTAAATGATGTGTTAGGGCACAGTTTAGAGGAATGAACAATTTCTGAATCTTTATGGAGCTGCAATTTAAGAAAAATACTGTAAATCAATTAATGTATCATCTCTAAAATGAACTGTGAGTGAAATAAAAAACCTCATCTATTATAAAGCTGGGCACTCAAATTCAACTTGTAGTAACTAATATCGCACAAAATGACTTCATTTTAAGCCAGTTTGTAAGCCTCAGATTTAAAAACAATAAATACTCAAGAGTTTCATTAGCTTAGGAAGACCCACCACAAAAATCCCAAGATAATAAAGGCTTTTTAAAATGTACTCTCTTGATAAATGCAGTGAAAGCTATTAGAAATTTTTACCACATGCTTAGGAAATCAAAATAACAAAAAGTGAACATGATAACTATACTTGGACATATCCTGTCAATTTATAGGTATTTATAAATATGAAGTTCTCTATACATGTGTGTGTAACAGCCTAAACAATTAGTTGGTTGAAGAGTTTCAGTATTGGGATTACATATACTCCTATTAGTCTTCAAGGAATTTATTGCATAGTACCTGAATAGGTAGACATTTATAAAAGCAAACAATTGCATTATATTATACTACAGGAGTATTATGATCTTATAATTATGAGGGAAAAAAGAGCACGTTATCTTGCCTTAGTTGTAAAGACAGAATAGTACTGTTTGAATTTGTACCGTTTCATGTGCATATCACTTATGTCTAATGAAATACTTGTATGTAGATTTGCACTGTAGAGAACATTTTCATTGTCTACCTGGAATTCAATTCATTTATTCAATCTACTTGAAAATTATATTCTCACTTATAAGTCTTAGGGTAGTCATATCGAATAAATATTTAATTGAATGATTTAAAGCTATTTACAAAATACAACCTTAAGGTTGCTTACATGTGTCTTCATTTTATTTTACGAGTGAAAAGAACGATGCGTATACTTATCACCAAGACTGTCTTACCTGCAAGTACTCTTTGATCCTCAGGTTTGTCATCAGTTGCTTCTGGTGGAAATACACAGCTGGAATTCATGGAGCTTAATAATTTGTCTATTTGTGCTTCATGGACATCTTTGGAGCAATACATGGGCATGAATGCAACATCGATTGCTATCTCATGGTTCAGACCTGTTATAAAAAGTGCACATTTTTGAAAAAGCAGTAGTTAGTATGGGGTGTTCATGAGGCCAAGTTTGCCTGTTAGATCCGAATTTTATACCTGACACCATCTGTTTCAAAATAGCACACGTGCCATTGGTTGAAAGAATTCAGTGAAACCTATCACCACTGCTGAAAAAAAAATTCAATGTTTTACCAAGGGATGGAAATTTAAAATCTTCTTATTCAGAAGGACAGTAGCCAGGTCTCTTAAATGAAGGCAAGCAGCCTGAATTTCCTTGGTCACTTATGACAAATATCAATATGGGGTAGGAGAATTCAGAAATGATTATTGGTTCCTTTATTGCAATAAAATTTATTAATGTCTGACTCAAGCCTGGACAAGGATGGTAGTAACTAGGTGCCATATGTTCTCAAACATAAAGGTCCAGTTTCATTTATCATTAGAGCTATAAACAGTTAAAGTGAAAAAAAATGCTAAGGGGAAATGACCACTAAGAATTCCAACCGATGTCTGTCATTTTTTTCTTTTAAAAAAATCATTTTATTAGGGGCTCATACAACTCTTATACATCAATTGTGTAAAGCACATTTGTACATTCACTGCCCTCATCAT